ACAAAGCCGGGACGGAGCATGCCGGGTTCTCACCGGACCAGGCTCTCAAACACCGGGGGGGGGGGTGTACTCATAGTCGTGCATGCCGTAGTCGTTTGACCATTGACCTCGCATCCCTACAAAGCCGGGACGGAGCACGCCGGGTTCTCACCGGACCAGGCTCTCACATCACCAAGCGCGAAGCGCCGTGAGGTATTTGGCGAGTCGCATGAAGGGTGAGCTGCATCCTGCTAAGGGTGTTCGGCATCTTGTGCTTACTTCCTTGCGTACGGATGACAGCTACGTATGACTTAATTTATTTTCTGGTGCTTTCACTTCCAGAGACAGTTGTAAGCACTGTGTAACTGCCTCGAGGAAGCTTGACCATTTTAACACAACGTGGTGCGATCATCCCCCGTTGCGCGGAGTGAGGTTTCTCGACCCCGCGCAACATGATCTACTCGACCACCATTATGGTTACCGCCAAAAAAAAACCGAGGTAAAAAAAAAAAAACGGTAACCTGGTTGCCGAGTTCACGAAGTAACCGGGGGGGGGGGGGTGCACTCATAGTCCTGCATGCCCTAATCGTTTGACCATTGACCTCCCATCCCTACAAAGCCGGGACGGAGCACGCCGGGTTCTCACCGGACCAGGCTCTCACATCACCAAGCGCGAAGCGCCGTGAGGTATTTGGCGAGTCGCATGAAGGGTGAGCTGCATCCTGCTAACGGTGTTCGGCATCTTGTGCTTACTTCCTTGCGTACGGATGACAGCTACGTATGACTTAATTTATTTTCTGGTGCTTTCACTTCCAGAGACAGTTGTAAGCACTGTGTAACTGCCTCGAGGAAGCTTGACCATTTTAACACAACGTGGTGCGATCATCCCCCGTTGCGCGGAGTGAGGTTTCTCGACCCCGCACAACATGATCTACTCGACTACCATTATGGTTACCGCCAAAAAAAAAACCAGAGGTAAAAAAAAAAAAAACGGTAACCTGGTTGCCGAGTTCACGAAGTGAATTGGCTTGTTTTACAACGTCGTTGCCAAGCGACGAAAACCCAATCCCGATGGCAAACACCGAGTGGGGGGCTTGTTTTACAACGTCGTTGCCAAGCGACGAAAACCCAAACCCCGATGGCAAACACCGGGTGAGGGGGGGGGGGCTTGTTTTACAACGTCGTTGCCAAGCGACGAAAACCCAACCCCGATGGCAAACACCGGGGGGGGCGGCTTGTTTTATAACGTCGTTGCCAAGCGACGAAAACCCAACCCCGATGGGAAACACCGGGGGTGGGGGTGGGGGTGGGGGCGGGGGGCGGTAGCCAGTCCGTCAGAGAGTAGGGGCTATCCAGGGTACTGGCCGGTGAGGAATCGAGATGACTTCGCAAAGAAAGCGAGGACTCCAGCTCGCAGAGGGTAGACGAATGCAACTAATACATACGTCGGTTGGTCAATCGCGTTGGACTTCCTGCTCCAGCGTGGCGCCTGCCTCAATCTTTCCCCCCTCACAGCTAGCTCTGCCGAGGGCTGCATTGCTCTTGATGGAAGGCCTGCTTCGAACGAAGGGGGGCTTCAAGAGATGCTGCTAACTACAAGCGTCCGCCCCCCGCGTACCTACTTTTGCATCGGGGTGGGTAAAGTGTTGTCAATGTTGATAACCGTAAATCAAAACACTTGCCTGGCGTAGCCCCCCTTGCCACTGTCCGTGTTGGGTGCCGTCCACAGAACCACCCGAGTCTCCGTGCGGTCGAAGCCGGTGATCATGCGGAGCTCCAGCACAAACGACCCGTTCTCCTGCATGTGGGCGTGGGCGTTGCTGCCGAGCGTGCCCTCTGCCTCGAAGAGGGTGTCGACCACGGCACCGCTGTCCGCGTTGACCACTCGCAGTGTTTCTGTTGAAGCCCCCCACAAATCGCGAAACACGGAAAAAAAGGGGATTTCACACGGAGGAGAGAGGGGAGAGTCGCCTTGGTTCGGTGACACGTGACGCAAACGCAAGACGTGCAACTCCGCTACACCTTGCGCGCGCGATTTACACGTGCATGCGACTAGGATCACCCCCCCCCCACCTCCCGCCATCCCCACCCGCGCGGGTCTTAATCTCTCATGTGCTCGGGCAATCGCGACAGCTCCTTTGGACGTGTGTCTGTATACCCTCACAACGATACCGTTTTTAACGACGAATTGGGGAATACTGTATCCCGCAGTTACATGTTTTGTATTCCAAGCAAGAACCCTCGCTCACTTCCTGCGATCTCGAGGCGGTATTTCTCGTTCACGCTGACCAGGGGTTCCGTTATGGTCACAACCTCGCCCAGCCTCAGGGTCGCCTGTGCATCATCACCACAGGGAACACGACGAGATGTTGTTAGCATTTCGCCGCTCGGAGTTTCAAAAGACGCAGTAGCAAATGTCCGAAGAAAATTTAGCCGCGGCCGACGACGGGTGAGCAGAACAACGACCGACAACCTGGTGCAACAGAATATACGACGGGGGCGTCTTGTGGCATTTTAGCGCGGCGCATGGTCATTGCTGAGGGCTGACCTGTACGCCCTGCAAAGCCGTCGTGATACGGATTTGCTACACAGACATGTGCGCGCGGGCACTCGATAGGCGGCCTCTGCATCAAACGCAAGACTAATAGGGCGTCGGGCGATTCTAACCCAACCCAGGGCATACGCGGGGAAGCTTCCACCGTCTGCGTCGTATGTCTGTAAAACGTGCGAGTCATCGCACACCCGCTAAACGGACTATCATATCTTGGTTTCTTCACGGCCTATGGGTTGCCAATACCGAAAGGGGTAGTTTCTTCCTCGTCGAGAGCTCTCCTTGTTTGAGGAGCATTTGAGCCTTGAATGTTAGTGGAGGGGATGTGCGATGACTCGTACCTTTACGGTATGTCGTGATGGGACCTTCTTTTCAGTAGGCATAGGCCAAGAACTATACTCCCAACAATTGTAGCAAGAACTTGTAGCGTTTCTGTCAAGAACTATACTTTGCAATACTCCCTCATCAAAACTCCCCAACAAAACAACCGTGACGCGCGTGCCTAACCGTTTTAGGCGGTTACAAAGGACCGACCTCCTCGAACTTTCTGTGATGGTCGAGGGCATCCTTCAGGGCGATGTTGCCAAGCCGTTTATTCCAGATGTCATCGAACCCGACCCAATCCGTCGACGACAGCTGCCTAGCACTGACAAAGGGTCGTGGAGGAGGGGGGGGGCACAACACGCGGAAGAGGACGGGGTTTACCGCGCGTCCATCTGTACGGTGACGGCTGCACGGTAGATTCGAAGGTCGCTACGTTGTGCATATTTCTTGACACGCACAGGCAGCCGACGAGGCCGGGGCCGGGGATCATAGCTTGACCGTTTCATGCGCCTATGACGACACATGCATCTCGTAACATATGTGTCATGTGCAAAATCGAGAAGAACACACAAAGCGTGGTGGCCATGGATCTGTGTCTCACGTCTTCACGGGAGGAGTATCTGTTCGGCGCAACCTTCCACTAAAATGTAGCCAGCCCCACCCTGCCTCAGCTACAGAACTCCTGACGCGAGGAGCGCTGTGCTGGTGGACAACAAATATATGTACAGTGTAGAGGAGACTTGTCCTCAAAAGCCCAACACAATGACTAATTAATTATTAGACAACATACAACATCTACCTGAATATATATTTAAGCTTCACTTACAAAACCTATTCGTTTCCCCAATGTCAAAACGTCCTCCACGCTTCATAAACGCCGGCACACCTCCTTGCCGCGGCCTCGTACTGGGTCGTGCCGGTCTTGAAGTCGAACTTCCCCGAAAGCTTCGGCATGGCCCGCATGTTGGACTGCAGCGCGTGGAAGAAGTCGGCTTGTCCCGGCGGGGCGGTCTCCATCTCCTTGGCGGTGGCAAGAACAGCGCCGGACAACCTCTCCGCTGCCTTCGCACGAACGGGAGGAAGAGACAGGGGGAGAGAGAGAGAGAGAGAGAGAGAGAGAGAGAGAGAGAGAGACACACACACACACAGACAGACAGAAAGAGAGAGAGAGAGAGAGGCAGACAGAGAGACAGACAGACAACAGAGAGAATCGCTTCGACCGATAACACGGATGTGGGGGGGCAGTTCAGCAGAGTGCTCGGCGCGAACAACACTAAGTAGGTTTCTAGTCGGTGGTGGCTGCGCGTATCTGTTTTCACCGGGACGTGTGGACGGAACGGCACGCGGTTCGGAGAGCCGTTTCGCGGATTTGGTGATTTTCCATCGCCCTTTTCGGACACCGAAACCGGCAGTCGCATCCCCATTCACAGTCGGGACGGACCACGCCCATCGCGTTTTCGCCACCCATGCAGGCGCTAAATTTGTCCGGGTATGAATCGCCGCAAGACGATGAGAAGAGAGAAAAAAAATCGGTTGTCGTCTCAAAATGTCTGATGAGGGCACTGCCCAAGGTGAGAGCTGGCCAGCCTCGTCTATCACCTGTCATTCCGCTCGTTGTCTTTGTGGAATAGAAAAGGCTACATTGAGACGTTTCAGCAGTTGGATAGGCCTCCATTAGTCGTGGTATGGCTCGAGGCGGTCTCGCAACCCAGCAGCTAGTGCCGATCAATGCAGGCGTTTTTTTTTGTTCGAGGCGTCATGAAAGCTAGCGAGAAGGTTGTTCGAGGCGTCAATAAAAGCGAACAAGAAGGTTGAGCTTGACCCAAAGAGCCCCCCGCACGTCAACGTCATAGCCTTCCCGTCGAAGTTATCAAAAGTCACCTCTTCGGTGTTGGCCTCGAGCTCGAGCTCCAGGACCTCGAACAAGTCCACGACGGCCGCCCTGATCTTGTCGTGGGCGTCCTCGGTAGCGAAGGAGCGCCCGATCATGTGACGCAGGGACGCGGGAACCTGTCGATCGCGTGAACAAGACAAGAAGAGCGGAAAACGAAACGGCGAGTCGCGCTCTCTGCAGTCTAGCCTCGCGTCGGTACGGCGTGCACTCGTTGGAGCACAGCGTCAAACCCGCCCTGGAGTTCCTTTGAGGCGGGTGCGCGGCCGGGGTTGTGTGTGTATGTAGTATGAAATACAAAGTGCGCCAAGAGGGCGGTAGCTGGCACCGCAGTGATGAATCGATGGCACAAACTGAACCAGGCGTGACTGGCGACTCAGAATCACTTCCGAAGAAGACAACGGCGTGTGAATACGTGTTACGTCGGCATGGCTTTCGACATCGATTTACCGGAAACGCGCACAAAGGGTCAGCAAAAAAGCGGCGTGGCCGGTGTCCAGAGAATGGTCAGCAGGTCGTGGTTGGCGCTCACCGCGGGGTCTTTCTCCAGCGGCTTCCACGCCGAAGCTCGTTGCTGCCACGCCACCGTCAGCAGGTTCATGGCATTCTGCACATCACGCAGATGGGACGAAGCGGGTCGCACGGTCTCGTCGTGGGGGGAAATACTCGCGTCCTATACCGTGGCGTGGGCACCACGACGCAGAGATCGCGACTGGTGGTTGCACACAATAGTTGGATAGATCCGTAGGTTTTCCCCCATGTCTTCGAACAACGTGGGAATGCTTCCTGATTGCAATGTTAACCCGGCGAGGTGTCCCTTCGCCACCACACCCTAGGGCAATGGACGACTCCCCTCTTCCAATGTGCCAGAGGACGATGGTGCGGAACTGAGCGCGCGTGTCCGTCGAGGGCGTGAACACAATGTTGGACTAAGGGCTGACCTCGAGCTTCGTTTTTCCGGGGGACGCCGGGTCGAACGTGTCCACCATGTTCTCCAGCACGCTGGTGATGGGTAGAAGCGCCTCCATCGGCCCGCGGTCGATGACGGTCCACGAAGAGGTGTCGGTGAACAGCGCCTCCGCAAACAGCTCAGGCGTCGCCACGTTGGGTCCCATGGACTGCAAAATTGACGGGGGTTTGGCGTGCCATATAGTCCAGTTAGGGCTTTGTGACGGGGCTGCGGTAGTACTCATTGGCAGCGCCTGATGAGCAATGCAGTGTACGCAAGGCACACCCTGGAAGATGTCAAGGTGTGTCAGCGGCAGCAACACGGGCTGCTGCTGCGGCGGCGACGACGAATACGAATCGCGTAGAGATGAAACTGACGCCATGATTGGGCGAGGCAAGAAGGACTGAAAGCAGTGTTTCAGAGCCCTTCTCCTCGCCTACTTCCTGAAAGCACACGTGTTCGGTGTATGCCAGCACGCGTGTACGCACATAAGTAAGAACCCATCGACAAACACCAAAATGTAGACAGACAGAAACATCGACAATTGCCGACAGGACACGGCACCTGGGCGTTGTGCCCCTTCTACACACAAACGGCACTTGCCCGAACGTAGGTCTGGAACATGGCGCGAGAGTCCTCCGACTCGCTCTCGTTCTTGCCGGCCGTGCTGTGGAACTTGACCACCCCCGAGCTTGAGGCGCTCTTCATGGTCGCCGAGGCCGATGCCGTGACCCCGACGGCGGGGCCGCTGCCGGACACCCCGGTGTCGTTCGACTCCGTCCGACTCTCCTGCATCTGGGTGCTCGCGGCCGACAGGAGGGTCGACGTGTCCACCTGCGAGGAGACGAAACCAGGCGCCACGCGGGCGCGCGTGTTGTGCGACGGTCACGAAACGCGGACAACACTGGGCGCGGTAAGACCCCCGGTGGATTCTAAAGCTTAGCGCGATGTTCGCTTGCTTGGTCGGCCGCGGTGGTGGGGGCTCGGCCGTGCTCTGCTGCATCACGACAGTGCGACAGGGGGACACGTGGCCCCCGGAAACACTCAACGCGCACGCAGCCGATTGGGGCAGACGACCGTGGAAAAGAGCGCGTGCCGGATATGAGCCATGCTGCCCTTTCGAAAGGCCACCACGAGCTACTCCCCCCCCCCCTGTCCCCTACCTCGGATCAATACTACGACGGACGCCAGATTATTCCACACCTCGGATTCCGTGGTCATGGTCATGGTGCGGAAGAATATTCCCCCGAGGAGGTGCCGGCCGTTGGAGACGTGGGAGCCGAAGGTGTCGAGGAACTGCCCGGCCTTGAGGAGAGTGTCCACCTCCATGGCGTGGTCGAGAGCCTCTTCCGTCATCGTCATGGTGGACACCGGGATGCGGAACGACTTCATGGGACACGTGATGGTCTAGTTTTCACGCGTGCGGCAGCCCAAGTTTCCAGACAAGGGGCGGGGCATGAAGGGGGGTGGGTGGTTTCACCGGTCGGTCGGATGGGTTGAGAATTTCGCCCGCATTCTCATTCTCTACACACAAGAGCAAGCCCGCCGGGCACAAACTATGCCGAGACCGATCGCTCGACGGCTGTTGGACAACCGAACAAACCACTTCCTCCGCGTCTGTCGTCGTCCGCGTCGAAAAGGGGACAGGTGTTGCTGGACCAGGTGCAAAAAAAACAATTTCTGTTATTAACCAATCGAATTGTTAAGTGTGTGAGAAGCAATCCCACGGAAATACGGGGCCCCCGAACGAGAGAAGGGGAAAAACCGCACCTCGCTTCTACGACAGGTGGGCGGTGGCGCGTCACGAAACAAATTCCGGAAGCCAACCCGAAATTCTACGCCGAAATTACCACCGTTCACGCGTCGAACGACACGATGGGTGCGGGTGGGGTAATAGACATCGACGCCGGCGGCTTTTTTAGAAAGTAAACATAACCTCACAGAAAGACTACCCTTTCGAGATATAACCCCGGCGGCTTTTGGTCTCGGCGGTGCGAGGTTTCGGGGTCCGCCCAGTCGACAGACGACGCGAAACGCAAGTACATTGGCCCGGTCTACTTTATAAGTTCTTGCATCTCCGTACCTCCACCATGGTCGCAGAGGTCGTCGTCTTCTTGTTGTTCGCGGAGAACGCGTTGCTCGTCTTGGATTCGTTCTTGTCGTCCTGCACCCGGGTCGCGGGGGAGATGTGCAACAGCAGTTCCACAGCGGACACGTGAGAAAGGCCGGCAAGCCGAGTTTTGGCACAGAGGACGCATGCACGTCGCCGGAACTCGGTTTGTGTGGTGCGCGTGGCTTCACCGCGACGACACTCAAAAAAATCCGGAGTCGGCTCTATTAAAGAAATGGACCGTTTTCCGCTTTCCAGACGGATTGAAAGCCTGGGGAGCGTCTCTCTCTCCCTCTCTCTCTCTCTCTCTCTCTCTCTCTCTCTCTCTCTCTCTCTCTCTCTCTGAGGTGCGAGAAAAGCTCCTTCTCTTTGGCTACCACTTACCAACACAAGAAAACAAAGTCTGCGCTGCTTGCCTCCGTTTCGCCCGATTCTTCAGACACGCTCACGCCCACGGCGCCCCCGAAGGACGACACGCTGGTGCTAGCGCCCCAGGAGGTGGAGGAGGACTGTGCGATGCTGATGCCGCCGTTCTCCGTGGTCTTGGTGAAGTTGGAGGCCATCGACTGCTCCGTGGAGTGCAGCACGGAGGCCTCGAAGCTCGCCGACGCGCCGGCCCTGCCACAGAGGAAAGAGACGCAGTTTTTTCCGCGTGTCGGTTCGACGAGAGGGGGAGTCAGTCGAGGAGGGCACCACACACCGAACGGCGTGCTACTTCGAAGGCGAACCGCTCGAGAGAGGGCTGTCGTGGGGGTGGAAGGAGATCGTGGATGCATGATGATATGGCTTTCGTGACGTTTTCCGAAAGATTGTCGTGACGAAGGGAACAAGCGGACGGCGCGCGTGAGAACACCATTCCAAGGCCGCCATCGCCACCGACCGCAGACCATCCGCCCCACCATACCGGTTCTCACATCTCGACGAAGGTGGGCTTCTTAAGGATGGGCGCGTAGGGCTTGAGAGTGACGTCGTTCTCGTTGGGGAAGAAGTTCACGCCGTACAGTGCCATGCCGCCGCCCGCCGCAGCGACCAGCTCCTCGTTCGTGTCGTACGATCTGTTTTTTTGTCATTTGTTCGATGGATGCTTACCAGTAGCTGATTGCAGCAGTGCAACAAGAGTCTTCCGCATCGTGTGTGAAACGGTAAAAAAAATGCGTCAATCTGCGTTGGCAGCCCTTTTGAGTTCTCAACAAGCTCAATTTTACCGCGGTGTGTTTTGTTTTTGGAGCAAGCCGTAGGAACTCCACGAAGGGATGGCATCACGCTCAGGGATGTCTAGCAACACAGCTGCTTGTTTGCACCGTCAGTACCCTTTCGAAAGTCCCGGAACAATGGGGGGCCCATCGGGACAAGCACATACTTCGTGCGAGAGACCCCCACCGACCAAGGTTTCTATCAGCTGGGCTTTACGGTGCTGTGGATCCAATCGCCTGAACGAAACGAGCTTCTCCTGGTTCACTTCTCACCAACAGCGTTGGCATACATAGCCATTTTCGTTTGCAAAGCAACGTCTCTGTTCGTGTTTCGGGCGCATCACACCAACCAACATCGCAAACGACCGCCGTGTTGGTGCAACCCCATGAGGGACTAACAACGATTTTGGGGGACAAGAAAGGAAGGAAGCCCTCAAACTCACCCGAAAAACTGGTCCTCCTCCTCCTCCTTCTCTTCCTTCTGATCGCCAGGCGCTGACGATTTCGCTCTCTGGGACTTGTTTGACGCCATGGCCATCAGCGTTGACTTTACCCCGGCCTCGCTCTTTCCTGGCACCTGGACGTTCGGCGATCGTCATCGAGAACAGAGTTACGAACCGAAGACCAAGGGAAAAACTTGTTGTACGGCTAACGCATTCTGCGCCGTCCCGATAGAACGCATGTGGTGCCCATGATGCCGCCTGTGGGTGGAGAGAAACCCACCAAACTGCCTGAAAAAAAACTCCCTCCCACGCGAGCCCGGCCAATATGAGGAACTCGCCGTGCGACAACGAGAAGATGGGTTTGATTGCCGGAAGCCCACCCCCCGCCTCGCCCGTGCCCCCGGTGTTTGCCGTCGGGGTTGCCTTTTCGTCGCTTGGCAACGACGTTGTAAATCAAGTCCCCTCCTCGGTGTTTGCCATCGGGATTGAGTTTTCGTCGCTTGGCAACGACGTTGTAAAACAAGTCAATTCACTTCGTGAACTCGGCAACCAGGTTACCGCTTTTTTTTACCTTTGTTATTTTTTTTTTGCGGTAACCATAATGGTAGTCGAGTAGATCATGTTGTGCGGGGTCGAGACCCTCACTCCGCGCAACGGGGGATGATCGCACCACGTTGTGTTAAAAATGGTCAAGCATCCTCGGGAGTGTTTATAACTGTCTCTGGAAGTGAAAGCACCAGAAATTAAATTAAGTCATACGTAGCTGTCATCCGTACGCAAGGCAGTAAGCACAAGATGCCGAACACCCTTAGCAGGATGCAGCTCACCCTTCATGCGACTCGCCAAATACCTCACGGCGCTTCGCTCTTGGTGATGTGAGAGCCTGGTCCGGTGAGAACCCGGCGTGCTCCGTCCCGGCTTTGTAGGGATGCGAGGTCAATGGTCAAACGACTACGGCATGCACGACAATGAGTACACCCCCCCGCCCCCCCCGGTGTTTGCCATCGGGGTTGGGTTTTCGTCGCTTGGCAACGACGTTGTAAAACAAGCCGCCGCCCCCTCCCCCCCTCGGTGTTTGCCATGGGGGTTGGGTTTTCGTCGCTTGGCAACGACGTTGTAAAACAAGCCGCCCCCCCCGGTGTTTGCCATCGGGGTTTGGGTTTTCGTCGATTGGCAACGACGTTGTAAAACAAGCCCCCCACTCGGTGTTTGCCATCGGGATTGGGTTTTCGTCGATTGGCAACGACGTTGTAAAACAAGCCAATTCACTTCGTGAACTCGGCAACCAGGTTACCGTCTTTTTTTTTTTTACCTCTGGTTTTTTTTTTGGCGGTAACCATAATGGTGGTCGAGTAGATCATGTTGTGCGGGGTCGAGAAACCTCGCTCCGCGCAACGGGGGATGATCGCACCACGTTGTGTTAAAATGGTCAAGCTTCCTCGAGGCAGTTACACAGTGCTTACAACTGTCTCTGGAAGTGAAAGCACCAGAAAATAAATTAAGTCATACGTAGCTGTCATCCGTACGCAAGGAAGTAAGCACAAAATGCCGAACACCGTTAGCAGGATGCAGCTCACCCTTCATGCGACTCGCCAAATACCTCACGGCGCTTCGCGCTTGGTGATGTGAGAGCCTGGTCCGGTGAGAACCCGGCGTGCTCCGTCCCGGCTTTGTAGGGATGCGAGGTCAATGGTCTAACGACTACGGCATGCACGACTATGAGTACACCCCCCCCCCCCCCCCCCCCCC